TGCCGTCCACGTCTTAGAGAGCTCCTCATGCACGTCTAGAAAGAATGGTACCGGGGCGGGCTCTGAGAACCAGCACGACCCTCCCCGAAAAACCGGACTGGAGGGTTCCACGCAAGCCCGACCTTCTCAGCGGTCAGGGAAAGCATAGCCGCACTTCCCGAAGAGTGCAACGCAGCCGAATTGTCATCTCCAGAGGACTTAAGGCCATTGCACACTGTGTACGAAATTTTCGTATGCGTTTTTTCGTGTTCGTCAGCCTAAAAATTCGTCACGCACAGAAACCTTGCACACTTAGTCCGATGTGTATTTATTAAACCTTTGCGGGAAAAAAGCAAAAATACAAAATGGATTCGTCAAGCAGTGAGGATGATTTTGTTGTCCTCTCTCTTATTGAAAAGAGAAGAAAGAGAAAATATTACGTCCATCCAATCCTGAAATTGCGCCTTATCAAGGAGTTGCGAATTTATCCCGAGTGATTCAAAATTTACCTCAGAATGTCAGTGGAACAGTTTGAGGCTTTGCTTGCGATTCTGGAGCCACATTTTAAAAACAAGACCACCAATTTTCGTGAACCAATCGATTCTGAACAGAGACTGTCAGTATGTTTAAGGTATGGACACACAAACACACACACACACACACACACACACACGCGGGCAGACAGAACAGCTGTATAGTCTACAGGTTATAAATTGTACCCAAATAATACATTAGTTATCGAATTGGCTGCTCAATCACACATTAATCGATCCGAAATTTCAATCTGATTGAAAGGGGAGGTTATTCCTTTCATAATCCAATCGAGAGAAGAGAACATAAACACTTGATCGAATTGAAAACTGAAACTGAAAGCACTGCGCATATGTGCAATGATGTGAGGAACGAGCTCCATAGATAGTAAACGAGCTCCCCCCGGCCCTGAATTGTCAAAAAACCTCTCAAAATGCTGGCTGTGGATGCGAAAAACGCAGAAAATCCGATCCGAATTTTTTTTTTGACGGACGAAAGTTTCGGAGGCGGTGTGCAAGCGTGATTGACTTTTTTTAACATGCGAAAATTTCGGATGCGAATTTCGGACTCATGCTGGAATGATGCTGAAAAATTCTGACTTGACATCAAAATAATTAACATTTTAAAATATATTAAAATAGAAAACAAATTATTTCAATATAGATATACAGTATTTCACAATATTATTTTTTTTTTCTATAAAAAAATACTTAGATTTTTTTTTAATTGGTGAGAAAATATGGTACATGTGCGTCTTTCATTGTTTGTGTGTCCCCCAAACAAAATTTGTATTAAAAATATTTTAATTATTTCTGTAGATGATGAGATGTGGGTATATTCTGCCAGTACTCTGGAGAGAGACTATCCCAAGAAGATCTCCAGTATGGGTCTTCCTTCAGATTTGCATAGAATTGATGCTGCCTACTCGTTCCACAAGAGCAAGAAGACTTACTTATTTGCTGGAAACAAGTTCTGGAGGTAATACTTATTTAAATATTCCTCAACATATGTGAGCTTAATAATGTAATACTGTTCACTGTGATTAATGGCCAAAATACACTTTGAGAACCTATAGTAGACGCAGGATTTTTTTTCCCCTAAATTTTACAAATGTAGATATTATTGGAGAAAAAAAAGCAGACTTTGAAACAATTTTCCAAAGTTTCAGTGAATATTTCTGATATGAATTTCTTGTGAAGCCTTTATTTCCACACTAAAGTATAGCCAAATGATACTGGACATAATAAGGATAAGGTTAAAGGGCTGTAAAACACCTGTGCATTATTACCATGACTTCTCAGGTACAATGAAGCCAAGAAAAAGATGGATCCAGGTTTCCCTAAACTTATCGCAGATTCTTGGAGTGCTGTTCCAGATGACATAGATGCTGCCCTTAGCCTTGTTAGTGATGGTAAGAGATTCAAATTGTTTGGTTTCAGATCCAGCTTTGTCAGTGTTATTCCTCTGCAGAGAAATGTAACCTCTAACCTGAATTAACCTTTCATCTCAATCTTTTCCTTTCCCCACATTCTGTTAGCCCTCACATATGCATCTGATTTGTTTTCATAACCTTTTGCAGTGTAGTCTGTGTGTGAGTGTGTGTCCGTTTGTGTGTGTTTGTTTGTGTGTGTTTGTGTGTAGAGCTTGGTAGAGAATTATTGCCAGTTAACTCCAACCCAATTACTGCTGGCATTAGGCCTTCAACAACAACCAAAAAATTCCCCCAGATATATGGTTGCCTACTGCTCAAGATTACGAGCCATTTCCAGAAACAGCCACTGTCTGAACTAAATACAAACACTAAATGAGAGAAAAGCTTAAAAAAGAGAAGGGTAAAGGATTTGTAATGGTTTTACGCAAGGTGCTCTGGTTTCGTTTAGATTTACTCGAATTTACTTAGCATATACATGCTTTTTCAACCACCCAACTCTTTTCTCCGCTGTCACTAACACACATTTACACTCATACAGGTATACAAAAAAACACATGTAGGCCTACACACTTCATAAAGCTGCCTGTGTGGTGTCTGAAAGGTTCCTCTGTGTGTGTGTGTGTGTGTAATTAGGCTGCTTGGAGCTGAGTTAAGCAAAAACAACTTCTCTAGGTTGTGAATTGGACCACAGACTCCAACATTTTACCGATAAATGGATTACTTGCATAAAGCCATTGGTTTACCAAGCTGTGATAAAAGTGATAGTAATGCATTTTATGTTGTAAAAAAAAAAATCTATAGGCTAAATCTATTTCAAATAAATGCTGTTCTTTTGACCTTTATAGTCATCAACATATCCTGAGCAAATAATGTATCATGACTTTCACAAAAATATTAAGAAGCAGTAAATCATTTAGCTTATTAGAATGATTTCCAAACGATCATGTGATACTGAAGATTGGATAATATGCTGCTGAAAATTCAGCTTTGCAACCACAGGAATTAATTAAAATGTCAAACCATATTGAAATAGATCATTATTACAACATTTTTGATCAAATAAATGCAGCCTTGATGAGCATAAGATAGATCTTTAAAAAAATATATTACAAGCCCCAAACCTTTAAACGGTTTGTCTATTTGTTTGTTTATTTTAGAGAAATTTGTAAATTTGCATTGTTCATTTTTCATTTGGCATTTACACTTATTAAATGTTTTCAGGTCACAGCTACTTCTTCAAAGACTCCCACTATCTCAAAATGGATGACAGCAGTCTGAAAATTGTCAAAGTTGGGGAGGTCAAAAAGGACTGGCTACGCTGCTGAACCGATGCACAATATTCAGCCCCTGGCACTCTGGGATGACCTTCATCACTAGATAAACAAGGCCAGAGTTATCGTGCCAAACGACAGCACTCAAATTTACCATTCTGCCGCTCTTGGTTAGTCCGAGCCTCTTTGATTATAACCCATCCTTAACCAGAGTGGCCTGGTAAGCTTCACTGCCTGGACCATTTCTGCATGCCAGACATAGGCAAACAAAACTGCAATTTTTGCTGTTTTGTCATAACGTTTGATATTTCTTGTTTGTTTTTTAATCATGAAAGGGTTTAATGCAGCTCCTACCCCTTAATATAACCTACATGTATATCATCAGAGGACTTCTAGCATTTCCCATTTACATATAAATGTGGCAGTGGTGTCAGTTAGATGTACCTCCTTTGAAAAAAAAAAGAAAAAAAAATTGCACAAAATAAATCCATCCAGGCAGTATGTAAAAAGCACGAATGTAATATTTTGCTAGTATTGATATGCAAAAATTAAGGACTTATTCATGTTGTATTTTGTGTATCCATTAAAAAATCCTGCTTTAATAAAAGGACACATTTTATACATGATAATTGTGTACAAACGCAGAGCAAAGACCAAACAACTGTCAAAGCACTTTTTTTTTTTTTTGGGGGGGGGGGGGGGGGGTTTGTCTCGTGGTACAGGGATATTCATGGCACGGGTTGCCTGAAGACTGTATACTATAGGGTGTGTTGCATGATGGACTCATGTCAAGCGAATATCATGAGAATACTGATTATCATTTGTACTCATTATTTTTTTTGTAGTTTTTGAATTGACATATGCAATCTGTTTATATTTGTAATGGTTTATTTTTTATTATTTTCTATGTGCTTTGTGCACTTTGTCACTGTCTCAAAATAAATATGAATTAGCCTACCCTTTAAATGGAATTTATCATTCAACTTTTTGATTTTAACATTAGATTTTGGAAAGCATTTGACTGTATCCCAGTGATTATGCTTTTGATTTATTTGATCAGAAAACAATATCTTTGATTCACACCTTCACACACAATGGGCTAGTACTCCTTTTTTACAAAATTACTCGGATCTCACATAGCTAGACAAACAGCGACATCTAGCAGTTCCATAGTATAATAAGCGTGTCTCTGTACGTTACTGTTGTGCTGAGTGAAGAACCGCTTCAAACGATTCAGTTTATGTCCGAACTGTTCACAACACAAAAGAATCGACTCAAACGACTGATTCCTCCCTTCTCGAGTCAAACAATCACTGATTCCACATCCAGACCGCCCAACTACTGCTGAACTCATGAATTCGCTGAAAAAGAGAAAATGTTTCTCAGCTCGTAAATTTTATTTGGACGTGTGTCCTGTCCGGTAAAACGAGTCGCTACTTGTTCAAACGGTTTTCCTGTAGAGAAAAACAGCGAGGGCACCTTTAGCCCTTAAGTCTGAATAGGATTATGTCCATAAGAGGTGGGGCTTGTCTCTAAACCATCTTTGACCATTATGCATATTTTGGGTCAGCTAGTGCTCGAACAGAAACTCTGCTCTGTCTGCTGCCTCCAAACTCGTCTGAAATGTACAAACTTGCCGTTATGATTTATCTCATCTGATTGTGAAACATCCGCTGACCGCTCGAGTGTCAGGTGGCGCGCGCTTGTGAAAATGAGGAAGAAGCGCGTCATACGTTCAGAGGTTTGACACATGAAGACTCTATTGCTGTGATGACTGGTGAGTGAAGATGTCTACGCAGAGAGTGTTCGCGCTGCCCAGACAGCATTCCCTGCTGCTGCCCGCCGTCATCAACCCATTCGTGCACGACCTTAAGTTAACTAAAGCCGATAAAATCAAAGTGAGTCTATAATCTCAATTTATGACTTGTCTCTGTCAATAGGCTATTATTCTTCAGTGAGGTCATTCAGCTCTTCATCCTTTTAATGTGTCAACTTATTTTATTTGCTTGTTTCCCTCTAAGCTACGTATTGGATGAGCTCTTTTAAGTGTCTTTTATTTTAAGTCTTGCAATAACTTGGGAAACAGGGCTGGCAAATAATACTGTCAACATTTTTTTTTTTTTAATTGAGAAAACGTTTATTACTAAATGCTGTTTATTACTAATTCCTGTGCTGTAGAAAGGGTCAAAACTATGTTACATATTGTTTGTAACGAGGGAAAATCGTGCTGTAACAAGAGCCCAACATCTAGTATTGAAGAGAGAGCAGCCTATTTACACTTATGAATTTATTACAGTTATTAAAATTAGTTTATAAAAAAAAAATGTTTTTACTACAATGCATGTCAATATCAATACAATGGATCGATAGATCTATTGAATAGATTATGTGAAAAATGATTGTATTGTGGTTTGGTAATTGTTGTATACAACCACGAAGGTCAAGACCTCTGACACTGATGTTTTTAAAAGTAGCTAGTTTACTTGCTATGTCAGTTGTCCTCTTGACCTGAAGGCCCATTGTTCAACACAATATTCAACCCCACCTGCACCCCACCCCCCTTTTATGATACTAGATTTTTGGTATTTCTGCGGTAACTATGACAGATATGCTTTTATCAATTTATGTTTAGAAAAAGAAATCATCAGTATTTTAAATGAATTAACAGCACTAGAACTCTAATAGCTATTTGAGGGTGGGTGAGTATAATTTCAGTTTACATCTTGATTTTGTTTTATTTAGTTATTTTAGAAAAATTCATTAATTCCTTTCCCCTTCAAACGATTACATCACAGTATTAAAAGGTCCCCATAGAAACATTTGTGACGTTGAATCGCTGCTCCCATGTTAGCGGATGCCTTGAATAGAAACATAGAAAGTCATTTGTGTAGATTTCTTTGACATTTATTGTGTGATTGTGTCTATTTTTCCTCTTATGTCTGTGTGTAGTGTTTTCTACTAGGAATCATCCTTGTGCCACTCCGTGCCATTTTCTTGCTTCTTGTTCTAATGATCATGTGGCCAGTTTCTGCCATGATAACATTCAGACAGTCTCTGTCTGGAGCGGTGGAGCCCATAACTGGCTGGAGAAGGTACATACTACTCCTTGTACACCCACGTTACACACAGACAGTCCACCTCCTACAGGATATCACAAATCTTAAGATACAAATCAGCACAAGATTAAAATAGACCTTTTTAATGCTACAGCTTGTTTAAACCATTTTAAAACACTTCTGACTTGCTAACTAAACCTGACAGCACAGCACTTTAACAACACTACCTCTTACAATTTAATGATTTGTTCGGGCTTGTGTGCGTGGGAGTCTATTTCTTTGTGTGTTTGCTTCCTCTGCATCAATAATAGAAGTGCGAGTTAGTAATGTAACATTTGTGGTTTGCATATCAGCTGTTGCAAATATGTTGTGCATTACTGATGCCTTCCATTCTGTTTAATTCATGCTTCTCTGTCAAACAGACCACGTGGTTTCTTGAGAAATTGCTAATTTTGCTGTATCTTGTTTCTACTTGGACTGACCACACTGATCAGATTAATTTAGTCTTAGCGTAGGAGGCAGTACGGCTGTTGGAGGGATGTGGTTATTCTCTTGAATGATGCAACAACATGCTGATCTGACACCTGATGAGCACACCATGTCAAAGCCGTCAAATTTAAAGCAAGCTTTTTGTACTTATGTGCGTGTGGATGTGTCAGTATTTTTGAAAAATCAAAGTCATTACTCACTATGATTCCTGATGTTTGGTGTGCTTGTATATGTGTTTGTGGGCAGGTTCTTGCACAAAAAAGTGATGACTTTTCTAGGCCAGATGTATTTCTTCGGGATGGGTTTCAGGGTGGTGGTGAAGGGGAAGAAGGCCAGCAGTGCAGAGGCCCCCATTCTAGTTGTGGCTCCTCACTCTTCTTTCTTTGATGCCATCGCCTGTATTGAAGCTGGACTGCCTTCTTCTGTATCCCGCTCCGAGTCCCTGGAAGCACCAATCTTTGGCAGTAAGCAGTGTGGTTAATTATTTACATCAATATTGGTCTATACAAAAAGGAACACAAAAAGCAAATGCAATGCAAAAAAAATTGATAACGTTTTCACTGGGGATGTCAATTTTCACAAATTCCCAAGATCGATCGTCGTTTAAATTAATGATCAGTTAATCGATTCATTGTTAATGGCAAACAGCATTACAGGGTCTGGAAATGCTGCTAATAAGAATAATACATTTTTTTTTTTTAAATTTAAATAAAGGGTTCGTAGGATTGTAAAATGTTTTGATGTGATTGATAAAATAATTTAATTATTTAATATAAAAATATAACTACAAATACAAAATCTCACCAACAACGCCAACTTAGATGCGTGCTTGTCAGAATACTGAAAACTAAAACGGCAACTAAACCCAATGAATTCACAACCATTTGATAAAATAGTGTTCTCTTGTTATGTACAGTAAAATGACAGTCCCAAATTAACCATCGTTATTATTAGTCGTCCATTCTGCTTGAGCGGCGCGCACTGAATGATTAACCATTGAGCACTTTGTTAGCGTTTATTTAACTCAAAGAAAGGCATTTGATAGGCCTATTAATCAGATATATACAAAACAAACATACAATTATATCTGCACAAAATTACATGAATGCACAAGTGAACTTAAACTAAGTTACGTGCCATTCAGAATGATCATGTTGTGGTGGACGCGTTCTTCCTGGAACAACGCGACATGCCATCTAACCCAAATAATTCACAATGTTTTATTACAATATTGTTCTCTTTATAATCTTGTGTAATATGACAGTCCTAATAGTCATTATTAGTTGTGCATTGTTGTTTGAGCTGATCGCGCTAAAGATCACGTCAATTCTTAACCAAATCCATCCATTATGAGACCAATCAGATAGGCGTACACGAAATAAACTCATCTCAACTGGGACTCAACACTTCACCACACCGGCACGCTGTTTCGCGGTTGAGCACACGCATGATCCTGCTAATGTTTTATCGATTAAATGTATTATCAACAATTAAATCAATCATCGATTAATCGTTGACATCCCTAGTTTTCACGTTTGAATATTTTCACATTGTTGATCAGTTTCAGTGTTGCCAGATTGTGCGGGTTACTGCACAGTTGGAGGGTTGTCAACTCTCACTCATTTGGCGTGCGACACACGCCATAAGGCTCTGGCTCATTCTCTCACGCTGCCCAAGTAAATCTCACGCCAAATTAAAAAAGTCAATATGCTGTGCAGACCATTTGACGTATGACATCAAGAATCGGCAGAACGATTGAAAAGCTGTGCCAATCACATTTTACCCACATCGTGAATGGTGAAATGGCATTGTGAAACATAGTATTTGAGCACACAAAGCAGATTCACACGTCCAAGATAACTATTATTAATTTGAGTTGTTAACCTTTAATAATAGGCTAATACCAGCTAACAGGGCTCCCTGTATGTTTGCAGCATTAGTTCAGAGATTTTTTTTTTCTCGAGAACAATTAAGATGTACTGTAGTTACTGTACATGATATTTGTCCAAATGAATCAATATCGGAATAGTATTTGTGTCAAGCACTAATAAAAACAGTAGCCTACCCTTCTCACTCCAAGGTAAACTCAAAAGTGAGCAAACCTTTGAGAATTTGATTGTACTGGTAAAAATTGTTTGGATCAGGAGACAAAATCTTAGCTGGTTCGGTGTCAATGTGTCATATTTCATCAAAAATATCTTCATTTGTGTTCCAAAGATGAACGAAGGTCTTAGGGGTTTGGAACGACATAAGGGTGAGAAATGAATGACAGAAATGTTCTTTTTGGGTGAACTAAGTCTTTAACAGTGTCTGGGTAAAAACATTTGTGTCATCTGCTAATTTAAAAATTTAAAAAAATTGTTTGATTATTTTATTTTCCCCAGGATTTTTGCGCTGTGTGCAGCCAGTGCTTGTTTCACGCAAAGATCCAGACTCTCGTAGAAACACTATACTTGAGATTGAGCGGAGAGCAAAGTCAGGGGGACACTGGCCACAGGTAAGTGCCTCCACAGTTTTGTTTTGTTTATTTGATCATATGTGACTATAAAATGGTCAAAAATAAAACAAAGGTTAAAACCAATTAAACTTTCATAAAGTGTAGCCAAATTACGTGTTTTCCAGCTTTTGAAAGCAGGAAATTACTCTTAGACCCATACTTCCTCAGCTTGAATACAGGATGTCCTGTTCCTAAACAATGTCCAGTTTCAACATTGTGGATGTTTAATTAGTTTTACCAATTTTTTTATTATTGAGAAGCCTTCTTCTTTTTTTATCTAACAAACTGTGTATTTGAAACTGTATGTTAGTTAATATCTTAGTATTTGCATCCAAATTAAGCCACCATAATAGCTACGGTACCACTGAAAATAATACCGGTGTTATTTTCTTTTTTAGGTGCTCATTTTTCCTGAAGGAACATGTACAAACAGATCATGTCTCATTACCTTCAAACAAGGTTAGCAGATCGTGTCTATTTTTGTTTGTTTGTAATATAGAAATGTTCATGATATTGGACAACATAATAATGTACATTCAATATTAATATCCAGTTAAGATGTTACAGATACAGTATACTGTAGTGAATGTCCATAACTCAGTAGATAATGAAAGTTGTGAATGAACTGCACCATATGAAAATCTTGTTGTTTGTTATCATATAACTAATTCCCCTAATGCAAATGTATACAAGTGAAAGGGAAGATAAACTTTCACGGAATTCAGGGTGCCGACGGTTTGTTTTGGTGTACTAAAGAAAATAGAATGGGGTCTGCTGAGGCCAGCAAAACCAGCAGCACATAAAAGAGAGTGAGAGCTGTGTCTATGAGTAGGAATTTTCCACACACCACTAAGACTTTATCCTGACATTTAATTAAATATATTTCAAAAACGAAATGTTTTTGTAGTAGGCTTAATTAATATACCCGATAAGAGGTATATTTATTGTTGTATTATGTTAGACCTATGGATTTTTTTCTTCATTCATGTCATATCATTTGTATAGTGTTTACTTCATTGATAATCATTGATTGTTCAATTGAGAACCAGTCAAATAGCTGTAACCTGATACGTGATCAATGTAGTACCAGACAGAGATTTAACTTCTTTCTGAAATATACAGTATACAGTATCTCACGAAACTGAGTACCCCCTCACATTTCAGCAAACATTTTAATATATCTTCTCAAGGGACAATACTATAGAAATGAAACTTGGATAGATTTTAGAGTGGTCATTGTGCTGCCTGCATGGCAGTATATATTTACTGTCCTCTGAAAATAACTCAACATACAGCCATTAAATAATACAGTCATGGAATTCACCAGAACTGCACAGGTTGGATCTTCTTCCTCTCCTCCATAATGACATCACGGAGCTCATAGCTGTTAGATATATTGCCCTTCTCCATCTTCCGCTTGAGGACGCCCCACAGCCAGCTGCTCAATAGGGTTCAGGTCTGGAGACATACTTGGCCACTCCATCACCTTCACCTTCAGCTTCCTCAGCAAGGCATTTGTCATCTTGGCGGTGTGTTTGGGGTCATTATCATGCCTTTCGGCCCAGTTTCGGAAGGGAGGGCATCATGTTCTTCTTCAGAATGTCACAGTACATGCTGGAAATTGGAATCCATGTTTCCCTCAATGAAACTTCCCAGACCATGATGCTACCACCACCATGTTTGACTGTAGGCAAGACACAATTTTCTTGGCACTCCTTACCAGGGCTTCGCCACACATGCTGGACATCTGAGCCACACAAGTTTAGTGTTATCAGCCAACAGGACATGGCTCCAGTAAATCAGCAAACTGTTTGCGGGCTTTCTTGTGAGCCAGCTGCAGAAGAGGCTTCCTTCTGGGATGACGGCCATGCAAACCGACTTGTTGCAGTGTGCGACATATGGTCTGAGCACTGACAAGCTGACCTTCTGCTTCTGCAACCTCTAAAGCAATGCTGGCAGCACTCATGTGTCTGTTTTTTGAAGCCAGCTTCTGCACCTGACGGCACAGCATGAGGACTGAACTTCTTTGATTGACCCATGAAACCCGTTTTGGAAAACTTCTCTATGACCCTGGCCAGTACTGTAACTCAGTTTCAGGGTGTTACCAATCTTCTTATAGACTGACCTAGACCTAACTTTGTGGAGAGCAACAATTCTAATTCTCAAATCCTTAGAGAGTTATTTGTCATGATGCGCCATGTTGAACATCGAGGGGTCAGTATGAGAGAATTGTACTCAAAGCACAAATTTTAACTGCTCTAATACAAGATACAACATTTGTCTGGTCCTGTCAAGCAGACAAAAACATAAACATGAATAAGACGTGGCATGCTTAAACGACCTACAGCTATCACTCAGGGTGTACTCCCTTTTGTTGCCAGCTATTTTGACAATAATGGCTGTATGTTGAGTTATTTTCAGAGGACAGTAAATATATACTGCTATACGAGCAGCACATTGACTACTCTAAAATCTATAGATGAAGTTTTCATCTATAGTATTGTCCGTTGAGTAGATATACTAAAATGTTTTAGGAGGTATAAATCTAAGAACAGAAGATAAATGAAAAGTGCTTATTTGCTACTCTTTTTACCTCCATAGGTGCCTTTGTCCCAGGAGTCCCAGTACAGCCTGTTCTTATCAGATACCCAAATAAGTTGGTCAGTATAAATTCAACAGAAGTCTTGTATTACTTCATGATGCTTTAGTTTCTGGTGATAAACCTATCTGACAAACACAATGGAGTATCACAAAACATATAAATACAATATTATGTAAAATACAAATTAATAAATAACCATAATAACCAAGTAAATCAACCATAAAATAGCATGCATTTGAATTAGGCCGCCACCTGGCAAAATTACACACAGCAGTTAAAGGACTGTCCGTTAAAAGGCCACATTCAAAAGTCAGTTGAGGTCGAGCTGTGAATAGCTCAGGGTTCAAGCCTTAAAAAAAAATTACCTTAAAATAGAAGAATTTTTACAAAACTTTTTTTGCTCTTACAGGACACGGTCACGTGGACATGGCAGGGTCCAAAATCGTAAGTAATATTAAAACATAAACAAAAAGCATTTACACAACTGACAAAATGCTCCTGCAATTGGGCGTTACAACAAAAATAGTCATCAGAATTCAAATTTACATGCCAGTATAATCTATATAATGCTGCAAGAAACACTGGTAAGCCAAAAAGTTGTGCTTTCATTGGTTTATTGGCATTTAAGAGAAGACAAATTGAGCTAAATGTTATAATCAAATAAAAAAGAATGAGAGCCTTCTGTCTGAGTAAATTGTCATTTTCATCCTCTCTGCATATCTGCATGTGCAGTCTTGTAGATCACTTTCTTAGATAAGCTTGGTCTTCAGACCCCATTACACAGTCATATGCATACACTGTAGAGAGCAATGCTTCCTGAAATGCTGCTGGTTTGGAACCTCACCACCAGTTCCTGTTTTAGGGCCAAACTACTGCTGCTCACACTCTGTCAGCTTTATACTACAGTGGAAGTTGAGGTTTGTAAAAAAAGATTTGCATAATTCATGTTAATATTCTCTGCTTTTTGCATGTTTGTTGTATACACACGTCAAAAGAGCATCAAGAAACTGTGATGTTAAAACAAATGACAAACTTATAGCTAATCTTCAGGAATCTTATATAGCTGCAAATTATTTGTACGGTTCTATTTAATGTGTCTGTGTTTTAGTTTCTGCCCCCTCAAGTTCCCACTGAGATGGAGAAAAACTGTCCTATCAAGTTTGCTCAGTCAGTGAGATCTGTCATGGCTGTGTAAGCATGTCTTGTTGCTACTTATTCTTCCATGTCTTTAGAAGATTCTATATGGTGGACATTTACAATGTGCGAACAGTACAATATTTCAGTCTTATCACAATTTCGGACTCTGTTACTAGATCTCTGGGCTTGCCGGTCACAGACCACACTTATGAAGATTGCCGTCTGATGATTGCAGCTGGAGAACTGACCCTGCCTATGGAGACGGGTCTCGTGGAGTTTACCAAGATCAGCAGGAAATTGGAGTAGGATTGTTATTAAAAAAATATTTTTTTTTTAAATGCATAGCCTTCTTATCATTAAGTATTGTGATTAGGGTTGGGTATCGTTTGAATTTGAACGATTCTGATTCCGATTGCGATTCCTTGTTTCGATTCCGGTTCCTAGCGATTCTCGATTCCGATTCTTTTAAGAGGCAAAAAAGTTGAGCTAACCTTGCTAACCAACGGCCTTTCTGAAGGAAATACTCCTTCTGTAAAAATCTCCTACTCCTTTTGTCACAAATTTTGCATTTTGCCGAGATTTCGTTATTTTTAGAAAAGTGAAGCCACACTTTGGATCGCCGACATAAGGTACTCATGTTCGACTCGCGTGGTTATGCCAACACTTCCGGTAGACGCTTCTTCGTTGGTGTTGTTCAGCGGTTTCTTCTTCCGCTCGGCGGACTGTGAATATCAAAACTAGGAATTGAAATTTTAACTTTTGAACGATTCCGGGAAAAACGAAAAGTTAGTCTCGGTTCCAATCGATACTCGATTCTCGATACCCAACCCTAATTGTGATATTTTTAGCCCACATGATTACACCAAATAAAAAAATAATTATAGTAGTTTAAAGTCACCATTTTTATTTTAAATGATTCAAATATCCTTTATCATCCTAACTTCCCCTCCTCTGTCTTTTCTTCTTTGATGACGTGTTAACTGCTGCGTCACTCAAATGAGATCACAGCAATTATAGCAAACCATTACGATCCATCCAACCAATCAAGTCGCTTTCAAGCCATTTCACTTGGATATACACCAAAATATCAAGACTATCATAACTTTTGTAAACTTTTCTGTTTAAATTCAGATTAAAATGGGACAATGTGAAGAAGGAATTGGAGAGTTTTGCCAACATAGCTTGTTCTTGCAAAGGTGGGAGAATCACAGTTGAGGAGTTTGCCAGTTTCCTCAAACTACCCCTCAGCCCAGTTCTACAGGAGCTTTTCGCTCTGTTTGACAGGGTGAGTGTGTCCATAACTAGCCATGTGGAATAAGATATGGATAGGAGTCCCACTAAGAATGTATGAAATACTTTCAAATATCTGCTTTACTTTTAGCCTACAACCAATATAAATCTCTGGAACTGGATGAATCAAATAGCATTTCTATTTTATTCGCAGTGTGGCCTATTTAAAGCATATGTTTTCTGTGTCTCTTTGAAGGATGGGGATGGCACCATTGATTTCAGAGAGTATGTCATTGGTGTCACAGTTCTGTGCCGACCAGCTAATAATGAGGAAGTCATTCAGACTGCGTTTAAGGTAATGATATTACAAATTGAAGTGATGATATTATGAGAAGACAAATTCAATCCATAAATTGTACTAAGAAGTGTTAAAGATCTTGTGATGTGGTTATAAAGATAAACCATACAAGTACTGATATGTCAGTGGTTGTTGGCACCTTGCAGTGGCTTTCGAAAATCACTACTGTTGAAAAGTATTTTTTTTTTTTCATGTAGTTAGAGCATATGGATGGATTACGCGTGTGTGCTTTGTTGTCAAAATGTATATGTTTAAAATGAGGTAGATTGTCTAGTTGTGTCTGTGAACTCTTTTTGCAGCTGTTTGACATTGATGAGGACAACTGTATCACACAAGATGAGTTTAGCTCTTTGATACGTTCTGCTCTTGGAGTGTGTGATCTTAACGTCAACAGCCTCTTCACAGAAATTGATGCAGATGGATCAGGACACATAACTTATGGTCTGTATACCAACTGAATGGCAACTACTACAGTGAGATAACACTGTCAGACATATTAGAAATTATATCATTCAGAGAATACTGTTTTATTTTTATTTCATGTTTCAAACATGAATTGTATGATATTTAGCAAACAAAACAACACACCATTTATAATTGCACTCTTAACCAAGGGTTCTATGGGCTGTCAAGCTATTTCTGTGAGAAAACATGTGTTTTCATAATCATATTCTGTGGACACTCAAATTACAGGAACTGTGACAGTGGTTGTGTAGTTTGGTAAATTAGATTAGGAGATGGAATTGGTTTGGATTTTCTGAAAGTTGAAAAACTACATCTATGCTTATAAGTCTGAACTGAACTTCACATGCAGATATAACACTGGCAACATTAACTTTGGGTGCCAGTTTAGGGTGTGTTAGGCTGAATGCTCAATTCCAAATTGCATTACATTTATTACACTTTTTGAATTTATTAAGGCATAATTCTTCCAAATAACATTTAATCTGATCAATTAGTACTTCATAATTCAACTAATATTTTCCCATGAAGCTGCTTTTAACTAATCCAAGGTTTATCACTATCTAGAGATCTTTTCTTTAACTTAGCTAAAGTGAACCTTGACTTGTTGTATTTTGTTTCATGCATTCGGCAAGCAAGAACTAGTAAATTACTGAATGCTGTGGTATTGCGATAAATGTTTAATAGTCCAACAAAAGTTACCACTTTAATTTAAGGTAATTAAAGAGCATCGCCCAGAGGCCCAGGCTTTTTTCTACACATGAATGCATCACAGTCAGCAGCACACATGATTCTATGCTGTGCATGTGAACGCCTTGAAAAATATCTGTGTGTGTAGTCATGAACACTTTCAAGTGTAGGCTTGTGGTTATGTGTAATCTATTAGTCAAGGTTGAATGTTTTTTATCCTATGTTTGATGAATTTTGAGAGGGGGAGTCATTTTGAATGGTGGAGTCAACTCGCAGGAAATTGATTTCAGGCCATCAGCTGCATATTTTGCATAGTAACCTACTTGAGTGTCCAAAATAAAATTAATAAGGCTTGTCCTGATGTAAATAAATCTATTTACCATGGCATATTTACATAATTTCATTTATGCTCGTCAGTTGCCTCGCTTGATTAGTTTGGTTTCCGTTTGAGTAACACGTTTGTAGTAACTTTCCCATCTTGTTTTCTCTCTCAGATGAGTTTCGTTCCTTCGCTCTCACACACCCAGAGTATGCCAAACTCTTCACCACCTACATCGAGCTACAGCGCTACCAGGGTCTCCAGGGGGAGGACCCAGACTGTGACGCCACTTTGCCTTACTTCTGTACGGCTTCACATGACGACCAACAAGAAGACAGTACCTCTGACAAGAAAGATGATTGACACAGTTGAAGAATATAAACCATGCACTCACAAGGTTTTTACTCTGCCATACCATTTGAGCACTTGCCTTTAGCTTGGGTGGAGTGTTTTTATACACAACCTAATGCCCTATCAGCAAATTTGGTTTTCTTAGTTTTTACACCACCAAGTATTTCATAAACTCAAATCATTTTTAAAGGCTTTCAGGACAATGTTTACAAATATAAGCATGCTAAAACACTTATTCTGTTGCAGCTGATTGAAAAAGTTGATTTTATTATTCTACACCCCTCAGCTTTTAGGCATGAAGCTTGCACTCCCACCTCAGTTTTTCAGTCTTTTTTATTTTATGAAGTCTAAAATATTATTTGCTTGAATATTATTAAATTCATGGAGATTATGTACTTATACACAGGTCTCCCTTTATGGAAAATTGATGTTTTTTTTTTTTTTAGAATGAATATATTACAGAAGAGTTTCTCACACAAATACAAACTTTCTTTTGTTTTGATTTTTTTTCCCTTTGTGCCCAGGGACTTTGGTACAGAAAGTGAGTTTTAATCAAAGGTTTTGCTTTGCATCTTGTTTTTTATTTGCATTCCCATTGAGGGGAAATGTTGCTGAGTTAGCATTTTGTCCCTGCTGCTTGTTCAGACTAATACTCTGCTGCATCCTCTGAAAATAGGCCAATTTGTGAGCAAACAGGCAACACAACACGCCCACAGTAGCTCGCACCAGAGGGCATGGTTCCAAATTATCCTACTGCAGTGGTATTTATTTAGCAATGCAGGTTGCAATTATAATTTTGTTAACACAGCAAAGTCAGCTTTTTTGCCATTAAAAAAATCCTTTGAATTTTAACTAATTTGTTGTCCCTTTTATGTTTGAGTGCATGAACACTTGTTTGAAGAGTTGTACACTCTAGTGAATTAGAATGAGACATGGAAGAAAAAAACTGCTGATTAACAAATACTTTTATATACTGAAAATGTCCACTAGGTGACAGCAATTCCCAGTATATAAGCAGATCGTCTGCATAGACTGTTCCTAAAGAAATTAATCCAAATCTTCAGTGAACAACACTGTAAATATGAATCCATAATATTGGATGTACAGTAGTCCTGCTTTTATGCCAATGAGAGAGTGGATACGAGTTTCTGGGATGCATGTGTGCAAAATATAATATTATAAATCTCCTTTGTCACTTCTCTATGGTCACAAGAGATTATAAAATATAATTTTACATTGAGGTCAAAAATCATGTTTCACTTTCTGTTCTCTTAGTTTATCCTGTTCCTAATAGCAGCATACACCCTTGGAGTCTTAGTTCACAGTTTGTTTGACTTTATAGTCTGTTCATATTTACTGGACAGAAATTCATCATAAAAAATCACTGGTCTGGTGATAATGCCACATTGACTGTCAGGTAGAAGTCCAATGTGCAGTCACAATCTGTGTGTATAGGCTTTATGCTGAAAATCACATGAAGAAACAGAAAAACGGGTCTCATCACATCTACTCATTGGAGAAAATGTTAACAGCTGTATGAACTGACAGCAATATATATGGACATTTAAAGTAATCAGCTTAACAAGCATTCATTTTAATAACGAAGTCATTTTAATTGTTGACATTTTAATATCTGAATTTTAGTGATAATTTGAAAAACAGATTTCAATCTGCATATGTGATGGATATCAGGTGATGTTCATCATTAGAAGCTCCTCTAAAATCATGCCACTCGGCCGCCATCTTGGCAACGCCTCAGGGCAGCTACAGTATTTCAGACTAACAAGACCAGACTCCTATCTAAATGAATGGACAGTGTCAGAACTTTCGAGATGGTCCTCACTGCAGAACATGAAATCCAAGGGGAGGAGTCGGATCCAGATCCAACTCCTCCCACCTTACGTAAACCTAAATCTACCCAGCTCCACCCCAATCCCTAAACCTACCCAACTCCACCCCTCAGATCTTGATCCGACTCCGCCCCCTGGATCTCGTGTACTTCAATGAGGTGCTACTAGAACTTTCTCTGGTCACCAGAACATAAAAACTGCACATAGAGAAACAGCAGAAAACAATATTATACAAATCGCTGACAAAGTTTGACGACTTTGCCCCAAAAAAAGGTTTTTCCCTACAGGTTATACTTTTACTACGCAAGCGAGACCAACTTCATTTACGTCTCTATCCAGAATGCCGGTTTTGTGCTCTACAGCACATACTTAGAATGTAAGGTAACATATTTGTGGTCGATATAAAATGCTTTAACTACCCTGCAGTCTGGTGTGTTTGCGTTGTTATCACCCTCTTCCATGTGGATTCCATCTGATCTTGCACACAACACAACTCGCTGTTGTCAAATCGTCTCCACTGTTGCCAACCAAACAGACAATAGGCTTAAATGTTTCCCGGCTTGACCGTTAATAGCAGACGATTGGCTTTACAGTGGGAAGGGCGGGACATGTGCAACCGCCATCTTTGGCATTATGTGTTTTCCCCATATAGTTGTATTGAGGATTAAGGAAGTGGCATGTCTCTATATAAATTGTCTCTGTCTATATTAACAAAGCACATACAAAAGACCTGAACCAGAAATGATGCAACCACTTTATTGCGCATAACCCATATTTAGGGAGCATAGTAGCAATAAAGCAGGGGTACTAAACTCAGTTCCTAGAAGGCCACTGGCAGTCCTGCAGAGAGAACTGCAGGTACAGTATGTGTGTTGGAGCCGGGTTGGAACTAAACTCTGCAGGGCTGTTACCCCCCTGCAGCACCCTTGCCAAAAAGGGTCTATTTGCCATTTCAAATGTTCATCAAAATGACAAGTCAGACGCCCTGGCTGCACTGAAAGCTTAGGCTGCTGACTTGCTTCTCTGCCCTATTGGGCAATGACTTCACAGGCAGTGTTTGAGCATGAAGGTATACTACCTGAAACTAATTTCAGACAGGCTTCTAAAGCAGAAAATGATCTACAAAAAAACAGAGCTTTGTTGATATAAGTAACCAACTTTCAGGCACCATTTTTTTAGCTGAACTGTCATGGAGTTCATTGCACTGGAAAGTGGGATATCATAGGCAGTGAAGAATACATCTGTTCTGCCTTCAAATATTAATCAGATAAATGTATCTTTCAGTGGACAGAATGTGTTACGCTCATAGAATTGGGACATCATTCCCAACTCCTAACTGCCTGTGCAGCATTTTTCAGCTTTTGGACACATTTGCATTTATGCATTTAGCAGGCGCATTCATCGAAAGTGACTTTAGTTGGTGGGAGGGATCATACACATGTAGTGATCTAATGTCCCCATGAACTTCATTGTCATTTCGAACAGGGCCTGGTGGAGTACTGGTTCGTCCGAATGCAAAAACACAGCAAATCAAACATAACATATGCAATGCCTCTCGTTAGCATAGGATGAAATATATGTCCTTTTTTAATATTATGAAGAAGATTGTTACAGTAAAAGGTGAAAGTTCAGCATTAAGTGTTTTCTATAATGTACCTCTGTTTGTGCTGAGCTGCAGTACATCAAAACCAAGCCAGTCAGTAAACGTACTCCGCAAGTGACTTACAGAGTGCTTTTGTCAATATAATATCATCAGAGGGAAGATCAGGGACAATGATGTCTTATGAGAAGGCTAATGTTCTCTCTCCTTCTCTCTCTTGTCTGATCCAGCAGGATGAAGGATGGAATTGCTCTCACTTCATTAAAGTCCTGCTGTTCGGCATGCTGTGATAACCAGCTGTGATTTCCACCGTCAATTTGTTTTAACCTTTTCAAACATGAGGGGGCATTTCATTTTAATCACAATTGATGAGATTGCATGGAATCAATTAAGTCACAATTATGTTACTGTTTCTTTCTCTCACTCTCTCTGTTTTTCTCTCTATTTCATGCTCTCCCTCTCTCCCACAATATTGCAGCATTCATTTTTATTTCAGCCTGAGGTGAGTCTGCCAAGTCAAATTGTGGACAATCAACCCAAGTAATCGGGTTTTATTTGCACAACACCAAACAAGAGTTAGCTGTTAGGGCTTTGGCTGGAACAGATGAGGGGGCTGATCAGGGGCTCGTCTGAAAAGGTCAGCGCCGACAGGCAACACTGCTCATTGACGGGTTGCTAAAATAGCCGCAAATCACAAGCCCTTCATACCCATTGCATGCGTAGATAATGTGTACAGCAAATCATTTTCCCTTCGAAGGCATACTTCAATTCCCCTTTTCTTCTCTCTCCCTTAGACCCTAACTTCAATTTCCCTTTTCAGAATATGGCTTTAAATCATTGTGTTTTATCATTTTAATTTCTCTCTCTCTTCACCGCTGGATGAATTGATGCTAATGTTCTCAACTCTCAGTCAGGACAAGCAAAGCACAACATTCAATTTCATGCATATCATTACCACACCTGCTCTTGCTCTTGCTCTTGTTTTTGTTTTTTGGGTGTGTTGTTCAGAAACCGATGATGTAATGTAGTGCCCGTATGCCTTGTGACTGGTTGACATCGAGTCATTAATTTGTTAATAAGTTTATAAAAGAAGTAGGCCTATCTTATGTTCACCAAGGCTGCATTTATCACAAATAGAGTAAAAACTGTAATAGGTGATAGGTCAGATGACCCAGTCAGTTATTGTTTGTTAGCCCAACACATGAACATATTATATTGATAAAGCACTGCAGTACTACAAGTAGTAGTACTACACTACACTCTAATCTTTATGACAACTCCAATAACAGCGACAAACATTTCACATATTTAAAGAGCCCCTATCATAGCATTTGAAATGTTCCTATTTTTTTACGAGTTCCCAAAAACAGTTTAACGTGCATGCAAGGATAAAAAACACCTTATTTGTCTTATAATATGCATTTATTTTTAACTGATTTGCTTAACGACTCCCAAATGATTCGTTCGACGATTCATTTTCCCAAACACCTCCTTTGGGTGACGCAAATCTGCGGCGATTGGTCAAATGACCCAGTCAGTTGTTATTGGTAAACCGTAGGCAGAGACTGTTGGCAATGGAACGCCCATCACCAGGATTATAGCTTGTCAAGTGTTGAAAATTGTATACAGTGTTTGAACAAACGTGTTAGAAAAAGTGCACTTTCCACACAGTCCCTTACTCGCATCTCCATCAAGAGCAAGCTTTCCCGGCAAAACTCACATTGCGGGGGCTTTTGAGGGGCAGTGCTTATTATATAGAGCGAAGTCATATTTGGCTAAGTCGTAAGGAGGTAATGGCCATTTTTTAATGAATGTCTGGTGAATATCAAAAACAAAACTAACTTTTCCCCGCTTAGAAGCTGCGCGGAGTGTACACAACACACACAACACAATATAACTATATTGTGCATGCTACAGAAAACATAACAGCAAACATTATTAATATTACTTAGAGATTGTGATTCGGAGGAGGACGAACCTGATCCATATACACTGGATACTGAGCCCTCCTTCTGAAACAACCGGCTTGCGAATTTAGGTTTTTGAATTTTGAATGATTCGTCATTAAAATGATGAGAACACAAGGTTCGGGCATTGCAAATATGAACTCTGACCACTGATTCTTCACATGCTCGTCCCTGGACAATGGAAACAAGTGGCTGAACGGTGTTTGCAATGTAGAACACAGCGTCTTCTCGACATTCAGCTGAAATATTTGAATGTGTTCTAGACGTCACTTCAAGTTTACACTTCCGTATGCGCGCACAGTTGTTGGGAGCGGCCAATGACCTATCTACGTCACGGTGTAACAGCTAATGACTCGTTTCAAAAACAATTCATTTCATAGACTCAGAGTCGACTCTCACTATTGAAAGACAATAACTTTATATACGGTGCACTTA